TGCCTGCATATTGTCTCCGTTCCGGATGTCTAATAGTTTCGTAGGATATAACAGGACCAAAATAATATATAGGGGACAGCAAAACCAAGCCATTTTGTCTTTAACGACCGAAACTCAGTTATAATTTTCGGAATCCGGGTAACAACTCAAAGGTGCCAAGGTAATGCGATCCATACTAGTTCCTGCTTTCCGCTTTAAAGTTCCCGAACTTCGATGAGTGGCGCATAGTCAAAGAAAGAAACAGCGACATCAAATACATGGCTTGCAGTGAATCGGTGATGGCTTCCTAATAAATCCGCTGTACTTTCAAGGCAACAATAAGTTATATGTAAATTAGAAGGATACTTCAAAATTGCCGAGCAACTATTCACTCCAGACGTTCTAGGTCACGAGTACGTACTGAGAACAAACAAGGCTATCCCCCACAAGACGGAATCAAAAACGCTGTCCGCCAGAATCAAATCAACGGACAAACGTTTCTAGTAGCCAGTCGAAGGATAAGCAATCAAATCAAAGCACAACCGTAGGTTGAGCCGAAACAAAATGTTGGCAGTAGTAAAACAATGCCCCGATGTCAAAGGTCCAGGATCACACAACAGTAAAGCGAAGCATTTATGACAAGTCTCAATCAAATGAAGACAAATCATGAATGTAAAGTCAACGAAGACTGTTAACTGACAAAACAACATTACATCGGTTGGGGCCAAAGGCACAATTTCCATAGTGACGGTAAAAGTATTCAGATAAATGTCAACACTGTCAAGTGGGGTGCTCAGGAGGGATTTTCAAATCATTTATTCCGTTACACGCCCCACAAGACCTAATTAACTACAACAACTGCGGTGACATATGAACGCATTTCACCCAGTCACCTCAGTACCACAACGTCCAATCTTATGTGGGTCAGCTTATTTCTGAGTGTACTAAAGTTTTCGCCGACACAACGGCGTTGGAAAACCGTCACAGTCCTCTCATGGAAACCCTTCTAAAGTAGTTGTGGAATAAGAAAACGTCATCACGAGTGAGTACTCTAGTAGACGAGAAACTATTGGTGCTGACGGAATCAAACGGAATTCCATCAAGCTAAGTACCGCTGGACCCAAGTCTGAACCTACGGAAAGTAGCCGGAAACCATACCAAGAGTTACGTGCATTCCGTGGATTTCTACTACACTAGGTAAAGTTAGAAACTGCTCAAGTTGTTGGTACGTGGGGTGATGGATGCTGAGCTCCATTAGAGTTGGCTCTAAAGCTTCAACAATTTCCAGTCCCCTCGCCTTTACCTAGTTGCGGCCTTTTTAACGCTCACTCTCTGGTTAGTAAATTTTATCCGTGCCATGAATCTACATACTTTCTTGTGCTTTGCCTCAAGCTATTCAACAATGTTTGCTCGAGGCCACCTCCCATACCACGTACTTTGATGTTACGTCGATTCCTCGGAGATCTACACTCTCCCGACATCTAACTGCTCCTCCAGAAGCTTTTACCTGTGCAATACCCTCCCCCGACTTGTGAGCGACGTTCCATGTTTCGCTTTAGCCTCGAGGCTGGTATTTTGTCTACCACTATCTCCACAAGAGGGTCCTTAGAGAGTCCAGTCTCAGTGACATCCCGTAGTAGTTCTCACCGATGGTCGGTGGGCCAGATACTCCCCTACCGATGTCATGGGCCCGTCCGAAGATACTTGTGCGTCGTAGCAAAGTTCGACTCGCTGTGGCAAAGAAAATATCATGACCAATGGTATGATAATTACTCTCTCACTTCCACATAAAGCACAAACGTGGCATGATGGCTGATGTTGACGCGAGTGCGTACCTGAATACTTTCTGTTAGTGGATAAGAGGGCGCCTCAGCTTTAACAGCTTTCCGCGTGATCTATAGCGACTGTCGTCGTCAATTTTTGCTTTCGGACAACAGTATTTTTTGGTATCCGGCACAATTCAAGAGAACGCCCAGCTCAAAAGGGTGCTGAAATGCCATAGGTTGAGAGCAGAGTACAGTGATTATGTGATAGCAAAGCGGGTTCGACACTATCAGTGCTAACAGGGCTGCAGAGCCGCAGTGCGGTTACAGGGATGATGGACCTTCAAAATACCACACATGAACTACCTGGACCACAAAAACACCAGGAGACTACCCTTAACTCTAGCACCCTGTGTTTATTTGTGCAATTCCTCCAAAAATCCCCACAATTTCAAAAACATTTGGGCCTTCAGTGGACTCTGAAGTGTTAAAGATAATATCTTTTAAACTCTGCACGCTACTTATGATAGCGTGGCCCTCGCACCCAGAGTTAATGAAGGAGCAAGCATCACCACCATGAAAGTATAGTGGACCAGCGGCAGGAAAACCGATACGGCCAAGCAAGTTTGAACGTTCCGCTCTCTGAAGAGTTTTAACGGGGACCTAGTTTCAGCATATGAACGTGTTTCTGATCTTTATGTAGTCAGGGGTTCCCACTGATTGATTGTTCCCAAATTCAGCTGGATTTGTCGACGTTTGGCCACAGATTTTTCAGGGCTCCATAAGGTTCATCTTTTGCTCTTGTACAAATATATACTGGGTGAGTAAGACTGCAAAATCAACACAGTCAAAATATTTTCACAAGGAAATCGTTGGGGAATTTGTGCGCCATAAGCGGGCCTCACATACTAAGACGACCACTGGAAAAAATACATGAAGCTACTTGGGTGAAGCTGAAAGTACTTCAGTTTCAGGTTCGTGTCCTAATGTTTATGTATTTTCCCAAGCACTCCTAAAATAAAGTCTAAAAACTCATATCTCACCATGTAAGTCAAGGATTCCCAAATTTAAATATCCTTACGTCCAGTTAGATAATGAGTGGATAGTCCTCAAAAAATGCATATTCTCAAACCAATTTCGATTGCCATCACAATTCAGAAGTTTCCTCTATTAGTTCTTGGCCAACGAGAAGATCAGCCATTGATTCCTAGTACCCGCACAATACTCACGAGTACCAGACCAAGAAAAAAAATAATAAAGCAATCGGGTAAGAATAGTACGATCGATAGATTGCGCTAACATATAGAAAACCTTCTGCCGACTGAGGGATCGTGTATTGGCAGCGGAATACAACAAGAAAACCTGAAAATGGCGTGGATGACTGGCTGTACGCCTCCTGTCGAACGAGTTCGTTAAAGTATGGCCAGTATCATTGTTGTATTTCCTAAATCCGTAGGCTAACAATTTTGAGGGATTATTTACCAATACAAAATTTTAAAGGCTTTCTACGGTGCTGCACTCCTGAACACTTATGGAGGTTGAAAAATATTTGCAAGAAGTTTAGAATTTTAAGTAGTGATCTGTATTCACTGACACATTATAGACTTGGAACATCGATTGGGGAACTTGGGATGTTTCTGAGGCAAGGGATAAGAACTGACCACAAAACAATCACCTAGAAAAAATGCCAGGTCTTCAAACCACATTGTATATGCTAACAATGTCTAACCGTCAGCGAGGACATTTAGTAAATCCTATTTCTTACAATTAAACTAATAATTATCGGTCTAAAGATGGGTTTTTCTTATTTTATCTATTGCTCCACATAACGACAAGCTTTTCCTTTCATTTATTTCTCTTCCAAACCCATATAATATTAATTATAAAGACTTCTGCCTTTAGTTTTATTCACCAACTTTCAAGGTTGTTACGAAAGTACATTTGAAATTATGCGCATTATCACAGCTGAAACCCAATTGAGAGGGTAAATCGGATTTATTTTTTCATGGTAGTGAGTTCTTTTCTCTAGCTAGGCTTTTTCTCATTTTTTTAGTTATTTCACTTTCAATGATCACTACCCTACTGAAGTATAGGCAAAATTATTTCCATGAATTTGTGAAAAACGACAAGATTTTCATTTGTTCACGTCCCGATTGACTTACCTCTTAGTCAACAAAACCCTGGTAGACTTACTTAGAAAATTATAGAGCAGTAGGATGCACAGTATGGAGGCCAGAGATCTTTGAAAAATTGAAACATACATTTAGAGAAATATTTCCCTCAGTGATGTACATCACTGAGGAAAATCTTTTGAGACTTTTGACGTCAAAAGTCTCAAAATACACCTAAACATTTCCTTGGTGATTTATGAAGTTTAAAGTTCGTAGATTTTCTGCAGCACACGTAAATTTTCGGGAGGACTACATTGTCCCGCAATTGGTGTATTTTCGCATTTTCTCTCAAGTAACCTTATCTCTTTATATTGGGATTCATTCCCTTGCTGAAATAAGTTTCAGAACGGGTGTTTAACACAGAGAATAACTTAGTACTTCGGTAACTTTCCACAAGCTAGTAGCGCCCCGTTAATTTTTCTTAAGGTCATATCTAAAGTTTCTTGAGTGCATCCAAAGTTCATGCTGGCTGGGAACATACTAGCACCTCTCACACGGTGCTAAAAAGCCTTTATCCATGCCCTTTCAAAATTGTTGACCGGTTAAATTTTCAAAAGTTTCCTTATGTAAACACTCATTTTCAGGATTTCTAACGATCAAAGATTATTACTGTATTCTATTATGTACCATCAATTGCCGGTGTATCTAACCAACCTTTGGATTCATTAGACATTTTGTACTCCATGATTTCTCATAAGACGCTTAATAAAAAGTTTTCTCGCCTCACAGACAGTTATTGCAATAGGCATACTGCTAATAAAGCTGAAGTTCTTCTCTATTTTATATCACTTTTGGTATTCATGTTTGATTAGTAACTACTTATATCAACCTTCACATACATTTCAACCAGTTTTTCTCATATTGTGTATTGAGACTTAAGTCATTCTATTGGTTTATTCTAGAGATAGTGTGTCTATCACTTGTTATTTACTTTGTGAAATCCTCCAATCAATTACCCTTATGGTTCATAAATCAAAACAAGAATTTGTAACATTCAACCAATCGAAAAATAATAATGAACAAAAAGTTACAGTAGTAGTATTTACCATACATAAGATCGAACTTCTTCCCAATACTATTGTTCGTAATGGTTGTTCAGTCATCTAAACCGACTGTTTCTGCTGATCAGAAATCTGAAAGGTATAATGATTGGTTGTTAAATATCAAATTATTTTCAGGGACGATAAGAAACCGAGGACTGAAACTTCCTTTGCTAGGCTTGTAAGTTTTTTAAATTATTTATTGTACCACAGTTCCAGTATTCGACCACCGTAGACAAGCTTCTTGTGTTTGTTGGAAATGTATCTGCAGTTTTGTTGGGGGCATCATTTCCTTCGTCTATTCTTATTTTTCGTTCAATGATTAATGGAATGTTTGATGGCTCTTCAAGCAACAAAATGTATGGATTTTTGGGATGGTATGTTCTTATGGTGGCTTTGATGTTCCTAATTTGCATGTGCAAGTCCGTTTGTATCGGATATTCTTCCAAACGCATATCAAGACATATTCGTCTGCTGTATTACCAGGTAATATATATGTACATATGGTACACTCTTCCTGATTACTGTTTATCAATGTTTTTGTTCTTCTCAATAAAAATTCTACACAATTTAAGCAACTTATGTCTAAATGTTTTCAAGTCTGAAAGTGTGGTTCAACTTTGTTGAAACTTTGCCAAAGTCATACCTAGTTTTTGTTAGATTATTTGCACCAGAAAACTGTTGATGCTTATTTTCGCATGTTGCTATCATACCATCAAGGCAGGCAATTTAAAAAGAATCGTTTTCTGCACACGTAGTTTATTATTTTTCGTAGCAAAGACATTATCACTACAGTTTTTAAATATTAAAAAACGGTATTTTTATTTGTTGAGGTGGATTCATTAGCAGTATGAATGGATTCTTTCATTTCCCCACTTGCTCTGTATGAAGCTTTAGAATACTTGATAGAGTTATCCTCAAAACGTATCGTTGGGAGACTACTCATTCAGGCGATTAGTAGTAGGTAAAAAGGCCAAGTCATTTGCTAAGGTTGTAAGCCTTTATTATTGTTATTTGTCCGTTGGACTCCTAGTGGAACATAGAACTTCAGTAGCACGTCACCATTTCACTCTCTTCTCTGCAGTCTTTTCAACCTGGCTCCATGACCGTCCAGAAGCTTTCACTTCTTCCTCACACAATCTCCTTATGTCACCCTCGGACACCGAACTCGTCGTTTCCCTTTTGGGTTCCACTCAAGGGTCTGGCCTGGAACGTGGTGTCCCCGATTGGTCTTCCCAGTGTATGTCCAATCTAATCCACCTGCACTTTCTTCTGCATATTTGTTGGGCGATATGTTGTTGGTTGGCTAGTTGCAGGCCAGAATTCCTTGTTGTTTATTCTTTCTGGCCATCTGATCTTCAGTATGGAGTAAGCGTAGGCGACAGCTGTTGATCATGTATGTCTCCAGTTGGTTGGAAATGCTTTTCGTAACACGCCAAGTCTCTGAACCATATAGAGACAGTGACTTGAAATTGGTGTTGAAAATCCGGATATCGTTCTTTATACTTAGTGCAGTAGATCTCCACACTAGTTTCAGGTTAATGAAGGCCTGTGTTGCTGTCTTTCCGATCTTGGCTTTGACGTCCTCATCTGTGCCGCCGCGTGTAGTTAAAACGATGATGCCTAGGTAGGTAGGTGAAAGAGACAACTTTCTTTCGATTTCTCCCGTTGATGGTGGTTGGTGCTTGTTGTTGTTGTTGGTTGGGTATCTTCACCTCTATCTTCTCTACGTTCACCTGAAGGAAGTCCCGTCCGCGCTACCCTGCCTCTTCTGTCAACTTATTGGTTTTTGCCTGTAGATCTTCGAGTTTGTGCCGCATGAGACAAATCATTGACGAAATCCAAATCTTCTAGGGTCTTTTCATCGGTCCAGCGTATCCCCCCTCTACATGATCCAGTCGACCACACTCAGGAAGACCAATTCAAAGGCGTCACTGAGCTTTCCATTGTGGATCACTTGGCATGTGGCGTCGTCATATAGTTGTTGAATGAGATTGATAAAGGTTTGTGGTACTTCGTAGTGTTGAAGCAGTTTCCAAATTCTCGGTCGATGCTGTCGAAGGCTTTTTCAAAGTCGACGAAGCTGAGGTAGAGAGTTGACTGCCATTCTATACTCTGTTCTATGATGATGCGTAGCGTTGCAATTTGATCCGTACATGATTTGTTTTTCCTTAAGCCAGCCTGTTCCGGTCATAAGTTTGAATGCAGAGCGCCTTTTAATGTCTCTCTCCAAGATGATGCGGCATAATATTTTGCTTGGGGTAGAAAGGGATAGAACATGATTCCTCGCCAGTTCTTGTAAAAGACTTAGGTCTTCCTTCTTCGGGAGCTTGACAAGATAACCCTTCTTCCAATCGACAGGTACTCTTCCTTCCTTCCCAACCTTCTGCAACAGAAGTGGTGTGAGCATGTCCGCTGTTGTCTCTGCGTCTGTTTTCAATGCTTCTGGCGAAACTCCATCTGGTCCTGCTGCTTTCCCGCATTTCAGCAACTTCATGGCGTTCAGGACTTTGGCTTTTGTCACCACGTTAGTAACGCAGAAGTCAGGTGTAGAGTTATAGAGAGAAGAGGTGAGACAGTTGACACATTTGTGAACCTTCATCGACTGAGATGGCTGGGACATGTGTTACATATGCTTAGTCGCCATCTGCCTCGTCACACAATGTTGGCCGAAGTAGGTCCAGGCTGGCAAAAGGCCCGAGTTGACCAAACTAAAACATGGCAGCAATGTGTGAAGTGTTTGACTGTTGGTTTTAGCAATGTGGGTCGATGGAGACTAGGTGGCTGGAGAGTCTAGGTGATCACATGGCTGAGAAACGATGTCAGTGGTTCAGATGTATACACATATTATCCTCATCTTAACAACGCTATACCGAATCTTACCATTTTCTCATTTTTCGTTTCTCTCTTTTCATACTTTATATTTCTTTTGACTGAATTTTCTTTTCTTCATCTTGGACCTCACTACCTTTTCACTTGATTTACTGATATGAGGTGTGTAGACTTGAACCGTTACACAGTAATGCCTGGTTCTATGTTGATACTTATGATGATGATGATGGTTCAGTGGTTTAGGGAGATAACTACCAACCATTGGGTCACGGATTGGAGCCTCGCTTCACCACTCGAGGTTCGGGCAGCCAGATAGTATCATTATCTCTCACACTGTAGGTGTGACTCATTACCTACTCTACAGATGTGCAGAAGGAAGCTGATTGCGTATTGTTCGTTCGTTCGTTCGGTTTCATGTCAAGAAGAATATTTATTTACTTAGACGTGGTCACTTCGTTATGGATGATAAAAGCTTTCGGGCCCTCACATGCTACTATTTATCTATTAAGTATTGAAAAGTATGGGAAACAGCGGATGCAGTTTTAAGGCATACCGAACAAATAGATAATAGGGGTGAACAGCATAGGATGTGGCATAGCTGCGTATCAATTTAATTTGCCACACTAACATCTAGAGGTAAGTTAATGAGTAGAAAGATTAGTAAAACGGAAGCCGATACACAAACTTCTATGAAAGTTTCACAATTTAGACAATAAGTTATGGATGAAATTGCATCATAGCAATAGATTTTGTAAACCATAACCAGGATATAGATACTTCCACAAACTACTCAAACCATGAATTAAAAACATCTTGTTTAGATTTTACGATTTTGTTTACTACTTCTAGACTTTTTCAACATAGTTTGTCGCCTAGCATGCATCATATAGTTTTAAAACGGACTCATTATTACTCCTGAGGTAAAGTTTATATTGATATTGTTGTTGCTTTTGTTATTTCAAGCTTAAGAATCACGCTTATTGTGAGTTGTCCAAACACTGATATTTGGAGACGTACTCGAACACATAAAATAGTTGATGAAAGTCTATAAATCAGAGTCCACTGATATGATCTCCGTAGTTTTGAACCTCTGAATGGAATTTGCGGCACTGAAACTTTAACTGGAAGACCATTGTACCTTGCTTACTTAAACCAAAAAAAATAATTATGAGTGAAAATATTGGTTCTGATTGTGAACACTGGGTGCATGATAAATACAATGCATGTATAACTAAGTTTTCCAACAGAATTTGTAAGGAAATTACTCATATCATGTAAACAGCAAATATGTTAAGTCAATATTAACAGAAAATAAGCTAATTTGCTTCATGCTTTTCTTTTTTAATGAAAATAACCATAATTCACATATAGAAAGTAAACAAAATACTTTGTAAATACCATCCATAGCCAATCATTCAGTGTTAGACGCATTATTTATTTACCTAGTCCCACTAAGTATATATTAAATGTCTCACATCTAAAGTAATATAAGATAGTGAGATTTTCCTGTTGATTTGCACCGATAACTATTCTAAAAATATAAGATAAATGGTCAAATGATTACTCAGAAAATTCCAGCATACTTACAGAAATACTTTTTCTATACTATTCAAATCTATATTATCTATGGCACCAAAAAGATACTCACAGTACCTTTAAAATAACAAAGTATACTACTGAACAACGTGAGTAGTATATTTCGCTACTTTATGAAAATGTTGTTGATTTGAAGTAGCTCTCATCACATGAGTTAAAGCAACGATGTCAATTCTTGATGAAAACTACCTTGAACTCAATAATATTCCTACAAACGAACAATTGAATTACTTTCATCACTTACTAGTGATTACTTTTTAGATAGATTTCCCGAAGTTTTAGTGGGAAGTCACGGTCTGTGGCATCAACCAATTCGAGAGTGCAGCGGATACTCAAGGTTAACGTTAGATAATTGTCCCAATACATCGTGAGTTGACAGCAGTATGAGCTAACTGACCACTATATTTTAATTCAGTGGATGAATGGTAATGCGATCACCGTGGACTTTGGTAGTCTTAGGTTCGATTCCTGACAAGGTTGTGAATATGCATTGTTAAAGAGTCCAAAACTAGGACGAAACAACTGTTTACCCTTTCTAGCTTTTCAATCATTCTCCAACTAATATTCTGCCTTTATAAAAACCTCTTTTGAATGAATCTTCAGTCTACAAGAATAATAATCGCTTTATTCCATACAGTATGGAATTCTCAGCATTTTACAAATTCCCTCCTAAAACAATATTTTCAAAAAAAATGATTATTGCATCTGAATGGTAATAACCGCATCAAAGGAGATAATGCTGGTAATAGATTAGCGCCCGGTACATGATGTATAATAAACAAATAACCATACGTAAGTTTGGTGGTGGCGGCGACCCCGGTGACGGTTCGTTCATTCACCCAGCACAAAAATTTGCAATTCAAGCTATGTATCCGAAGCATAAAAATATGATATACTTTTGCGCACTGAAAAGCCTTTTTCCATCGAAATTGACACTTTTTTAATATTCATTTCGTTATTAACCAGAGAACTGACTCGTTGAAAACATTTTAAACATGTGCAAGAGTACCTGATACGCTCAGAGAATATATTTAAAGGATTCAAACAAATTGAGAGAAAATAATTTGATGTATATGTTCGGTGTAAAATTTTAGTGCCCCAAGCAAGCCTTTCTAAGCAAGTTTAACAACTTCCGCTATTTAAGAATTATCCCCTTCCTGTTTGTAAATTTTCAACTCATTAAAAGAGGTACTTAACTTCTTTCAATTAGTTAGTCATGAGTTCGAACTCCCACTTTACCTAATGAAATTTCAAGGATTAAAGAATCTCATTTGTCTTTACAAAAGTTATGTTTGACAACTTAGTACACAAATTTTCAGTTTTTAAGTTGCACACCTTTTGTAAAGTAATTCCCCCCTCCCCTCCCTGTTCTTGTACTCTATCTAGGCTGTACTGCAAAAGGATATATTATGGTTTGATGAACATTCATCGGGTGATATAATAAATAATTTATCTGAAAATATTAATTCAATTGAACTTGGTATCGGTACAAAATTGAGCGAATTCAATCAAAATATGAGTGGATTTCTAACTGGTCTTATAATTGGCTTTATTGTTAAATGGAAATTAGCATTAGTCGCTTGTGCTACTCTACCATTTGTTGTGACTGCATTTTCACTATTCGGCATTGCATTTAAATATTTTCATGCTAAAGAACTTGAAGCATATTCTCGTGCAAGTACAGTATCCAGTGAAGTGTTATCTTCTATTCGAACTGTAATTGCTTTTGGTGGAGAGAAACGTGAAGCAGTACGCTATCAACGTGAACTATCATCAGCTGAATCAATGGGTATTAAAAAAGCGACAGCGTTTGGTGGTGGTAAGCGAGAAATAGCTTAATTTTCTTCCTTAAGAAATTGATTTTTACACTTAGTTTTGAAGTCTTCACTGTTATCAGTTGTGGAAATTGCAGGATTAGTTTCAAGTTAGTATCCAACATGGATTGACATCAGTTGGAGGAAAATTAGAAAACTGAGAGCACTGGACAGCTGCTTCCTTCTGGTATGAAACTCCTCAGCAGTGAGCACGCATGACCCCACCCCAACAGAGATTGAACCCAGGACCTTCAGGTTCCGTGGCCACCACGTTACTATTGAGCCACTGGGTCAGCACTAAATGGTCCATATTTCCAACTTTTGTTAGTTCATGACTTAGCGTGACCATCACCCAGTTTCGTTGTGTTTTTTTACACCTTGATAAAAAAGCTAAAATTTTGTTCGGCTTTATTTCTTCTCAGTTGACGTATTTGAATGATGATTTCACCAAATAATCCAGGCCTACTGATCAGGAGTTGCAAGTATCTCCTATCAGATCACCATTTGTGATATTTTGATGAAAAATGTTTTAGATTTCTTATTACGAGTAAATCGGTGTCTGTGAATTTTCCAAGAGATACTCTAAGGCATAACTGAGGAAACGAGATATGAGCTAAATGTTTATCGCCTAGTTTTTGCGCACCAGTGGAGTGCCACAAGTAACCAAAACGTAAATTGGAGGTCAAACTATGATTGATGTCTGAATTTACAAATTTCTAAAATGCTTCAGCGTTAACTGTAGTGTTATTCCCCATGATCCTTCAAATCTCACTTATTGGCTGATTTTTGTATGGTAGTAAAGATGAATTTTACTGTTGTTATCCATGCAGCAGGCACATCACTTAGATAGACTGGAAAAGTGTGAATCACTGGCGAATAGTGACTTGTATAGTCAACCAGTCGGAAGTTAAGCGAATGCCAACTGAAGACTTTGGTGGATAGTCACGCTATAACGCGAGTTCACAGAAGTGGGAAACTGTAGATAATGGACCTCCGACTCAGTAGCTGAATGGTTAGCATGTTCTCTGTAAAACCTGAAGGTTCTGAGTTTGACCCTAGTGGGGTGAGGTCGTGGATGGGTACTGCTATAGAGTCTCACACTAGGACGAATCACTTACCCAGTACTCCCAAGTTTTCAATACCACCTTAAAATAAAAGCCCCATAAACCTCAAACTGCAATAGGGAAATTGTGTAAAAATATTGGTATTATAGTTTGTTATATCATTTATTCTTTACCAAGTTACAGTTTGTTTGTTTAGTAATTAATATATTAGAATATGTATTAAAATAAATCCCGATCATATATTTGATGCACCAGTGTTTATTGTTCTGTATCAGATACTCACAAGTGAACCTCTTTTTTGTGGGTGCCGTCAAGATAATTAAATATTTTACAATTAGTCATGTAGTGTCATTATAGTTAACCGTTTTTCCTGAGAATATTTGTTGACGGTTGGCTGCTGTTACTCATATATGTGTTTCAACTTACGTATTACTCACTAAGTGGATACATATAGATTCTTGTCAGTTTCGGTTCATTCAAGAATGTATTTTTACTTGAAGATTGTATAACTATCCATCATTTGGGTTGTCTATAACGCTGAAGTCAATAAATCCCATTCATTGTTACTATAAACTTGTATAAAAGTTATTGATGCATTGGATAGTGCATTCACTGCATCGGATGACGTACGATCAGTCAACGAAGCCCTTGACTGTTGGTCTGACCTGTGTATGTGGGGGGAGATGTAGGCTATCTGGCTGGGGTCCTTGAGACGATAGGAATCAGTGGTTGAAGACTCTTGTTGATGTGACTGAAAATTGGTCACAATGGTGCAAATGTAATCACTTGTTAACGTCCTCTAAAGCTTAAATATTCATTTCACTAACCTTTATCTTCGAATTGCATATTCTTTCACATAACTGTCTACTTTGATATCAGTCTTTTTATATCCACCTGTTCTTTGTATACTACTGGTAAGCTGAACCGATGCACATGTGTGCAAGGTTCGACGTTGATTTTGTCTGCCTATATTTCTAATTCAACAACCTGTTGTAGGTGTATGAGTTAGACTAGGCTATAGGTCACACACTATGTGATGACTTATAACACTAAGCAATTTCCATTTCAAAATAGATGAGTACGCTTCAAACCTTCGGGACATTGTGCGAGAGTCAAATTCCTAAGTTTATGAGCCATATCTCCTCATCCGATATTTAGCTAAAAAGGAATTAAGTTTCGCAAAACTAAACTGAATAACATTCTATTGGTTTTCCCAATGTCAAGTATTTTAGCAAATAGTTGTCCTCAATAAATTCTTCCTCAAGCTTTATAATTATAAATCTCCTAACGTTATCTGTGCAACAGGAAATGTAATGCAGTGCAAGTATAAACTTATATTTGAGGATAATGAATGTTATGGATAAATGGAATCATGTGTAAGTCTGGTTTAAAAAACAGAATAATAGTTATTTCTGTCTCTGATTCAAATACGTCCAGAAAAAGCATTCCATTGAAACGATAGGTTATACGACTCAAGGATAATGTGCGTAGTAGCCGATATAAACTTACACAAAAGACAAATACAGTATTCAAGGGATGAGTTGCTACCAATAGAATAAAAGTCATATGAAAATAAAACAAAAGAGAATGAGGTAAGAGTTGACTGATAGTAACGAAGAAAAGTATGTATTAGGTAATAATTATTACAATGAAAACATGAATACATTATGTAACGAGAATGTCTCAAGGAAATTAGATACAAGGGTTCATGATATGAATAAGTGTCAGTTGATACTATAGTAGACTAGAAGAGACAAGGTCATTCGATGTCCTGCTAGGTGAAGACAATGACAAGATGCAGAGTCTCCTGGACACCTTGAGAATTTATGGGATGCGTTTCTCACCACCCAAATGCAAATTGTTGCTCCACGATTGGTCTTCAACAGTGCCTCCTAGGCTAACAATAGACAGCGTAGTGATTGAGTGTCTTGACCACTTCACTTACCTGGGAAGTAGGATCAGCCCTGCCCTGGTGGCTCAGTGGTCGATGAAATCTCTGCACGGATACAAAAGGCTCAACTGGCTTTTGTCAATTTACGCCACCTGTGGTGCCGCCGTGATATCCGGTTGTCTACTAAGAGTCACGTGTACTGCATAGCAGTCCGCTCTCTTCTACTCTATGGATGTGAAACATGACCATTGAAGATAGAAGACTTCAGCTGTTTGACCACCGTTGCCTTCGTAGTATAGGCCATATTCCATGGTGTCACCACGTGATTAACCCAAAAGTCAGGTGTAGAGTTATAGGGAGAAGAGGTGGGACAGTTGACACATTTGTGAACCTTCATCGACTGAGATGGCTGGGACATGTGTTACGTATGCTTAGTCGCCGTCTGCCTCATCATACAATGTTGGCCGAAGTAGGTTCAAACTGGAAAAAGGCTCGAGGTGACCAGACTGAAACATGGCATCAATGTATGAAGTGTTTGACTGTTGGTTTTAGCAATGTGGGTCGATGGAGACTAGGTGGTTGGGGTCGATGAGACAAGAAAAAGCAGTGTTTAGAGACTGGCTTGTGGTGATATGGCTGAGAACCGATGTGAGTGGTGCAGATGTATACCCACATTATCCTCATCTTAACGACGCTATACCGAATCTCACCATTTTCTCATCCTTCGTTTCTCTCTTTTCATACTTTATATTTCTTTTGACTGAATTTCCTTTTCTTCATCTTCCACTTTGTTACCTTTTTACTTGATGTACTGATGTGAGCTGTGTCAACTTGGACCTTTACGCAGTAATCCCTGGTCCTATGTTGATATGGATGGATGGATGTACTTTTAAATATATGAATCTAACCTTCTCATATTGGTTCTCATTGTTTTAACCATTCCTAGGAAAGAAGTTGTGCACTTCTTCACAAATTCCTCGGTCCTCAGTTGGCACAGGGAAAGCTTTATTAGTTGGATTAACCTAACACTAAATTTGGTCGCTTTTTCAACCTAAGCTGGTAAAAATGTCTAAGGGCGTGCAAAGATAAAGTCCTCTGACTCTACGGCCCATATAACTAGTTCGGTAAAAGCAGTTTAACTGATGTGACCTCAATAATGTGAACATCATTTGTATTTTGTTTTTAACGTACTGTGTCAGTGTCAATCTGTTTTAAGAACTAAAATTTAATGTAACCTTATTAAAAATATCCTTCCAGTCTGTGTGAAGTTAAATGACTATCTACGTCATATTTGAATTCTAGTACTAAATGTACAGCTTTCATACTTACTTGATCTGGTCTTTGAAAAATCACTTGGATATTAAATTTGCAACAAAATCCTCTTTAGAAGTAGTATTGATCATGGACTGATATCAGTTGGGGGACCACTGAAAATCCAGGAGCACTAGACAGCTGACCTGTGCGGTCAACCAGTCGTAAGTGAAGCGGATGCTAACTTAAGACCTTGGGTGATAGTCGCGCTATGTCATGAATTGACAGAAGTCGGAAATTGTGAACCACTGAGAACCTACCCAGTGGCTGAATGGTTAACGCGTTCGCCGTGAAACCCGAAGGTCCTGAGTTCGATCCTTAGCCGAGTCGTGGGTGCGTACTGCTGAGGAGTCCCATACTAAAACGAAGCAGCTCTCTAGTGCTGCTTGATTTTCAATGGTTTCCCAACTGATATCAGTCCACGATGAATACTACTTCGAAATTAAAAATCCCCATTCACCTCAAAAATACAAAATCCTCTTTAGTTTCAGTAATTCTTTTCCGGTCTCTCGAATGCATGAATCTTATTCTCTGACTAAAACCTTGAAATGGATCTTATAATGCATAGTTGTGAAGCTAGATAAATTGATGTATTGCTTGTTTCACTTAATTTTTCTGAGTATATTATTTCCTGCTATGGAACTATCTATACTCTTGTTAAGAAGAACATAATCTTCCCCTCAAGTAAATTTAAAGCACAGTAAAGTTTGTTGAATGCTTTCTGAAGCCTTCAGTCACTAAGTTTCATATCAAACACAACGAATATGTTTGTTACGAGCGTTCTGAAAGAAGTTGAGCACCGAGTCAGGTTTAATCATTGTATAAGTAGGTTTTAATATAATCCTAGCGTATTTAGAAAATCAAAACAAGATTTTTCTGAACGTTTCGGTCTATATGCCATAGCTTCTTTATTCTGATGAAGAAGTTGTGGTACATAGAGCGAAACATTCAGAAAAATCTTGTTTTAATTTTCTAAACAAGCTGGGATTATATTAAAACCTACTTATATCTTAAACATATCTTCTGTTTTTCATAACAGGTCATTTCGATCTTTGCTCTGAAAATCTTGTTTAATGTATTGGATTGACAGGAGGCGTTCATTATCAATATCAGCATAGGACCAAACATTACCACGTGACGATCCAAGTTACCAAATCTCATATCAACATATCAAGCAGTAAAGCACTAAAATGGGATATGAGCAAACAAAAAGGAAAGCAGTAAAAGGGAAGGAAAAGAAATAATAAATTACTGAATTATCGTCCTGACTATCTGAGATAGCCATGGTTTAGCAGACTATTATTTATACTGGGTGATGATTGAAGGTGAAATGAAAGTTTGGACCACGGCCGAATTCGAACCAGCAATCACCGGGTTCCCGGCACGATGCTCTAACAACTGAGCTTCGAGGTTCCACTGTTGACCAGATTTTTATTTTGCTTCAATTACCATGGGTGGTTGATTTGGGATTGGGATGAAAGGTCCTCGCTAGGCAGCTAGTGTGAATACTATCAAGCGATAGTGACGTCACGAATTCACATGGTAATCGGGTAAAATCCTTAGTGACTGAAGTAAAGTAAAAATTTGGTCAGCAGTCGGACCTTGTAGCTCAGTTGGTAGGAGTATCGGGTCGGAACCCCACTGATTGGAATCCGACAGTGGTCCAAATTTTCATTTCACCTTCAATCATCACCCAGTATAAATACAATACACTGTAACGGTTAAGATGATAGCATCTGCGTCACTGACATAAATTCTGACCAATACTATCACTGGTTTCTGTTATCACATGAACCTCAACCGACTAATCTACATCTTTCTGCATGTCTCAGACTAGTAATCAAGGACTTTATGCAGTGATGCCACATTTTAGTCTGGCCACCCCTCACCTTTTTCCAGGCTAGACCTACTTCAGCTAAAATTCTGTGGCTAGGCAGACGGTGATTAGGCATGTGTAATAAATGTCTCAGCCACCTCAGTTGCTGACAGTTCACAACCTTATCAATAGGCGGGGTTAGTAGGGGACTTTTAAGAGCTGAACACTGTTAAAATGAATAAGTAGTAAACAAAACAGAATAGAATATATACTCGCCTACATTTTCATTTTCCAACGATTTACAGTAACTGAGCTGTATGAAGTTAGAAATAGTATTTTAGAATACTTAGCAGTGTTTTCTTTCTTTTGGGACAACTGACTATCTCTGCGCACCCAGACTCATTTGACTCTTCATTTAAATTATTTTCCAAAACTAGAAAGCAACACCATATTATGGTCTGAAAGACTTCCTCGTTTATACATAAACCGCTAATATTTTCCAATGCTACTTTGTGCATCTCTCATATTATTTATTATCAGTTTAACAATCTGAGATAACCTTGTTTTGGTTGACTTGTATTAATACTTGGTGATGAAGGCGAAATGAAAATTTGGACCACAGCGGGATTCGGACCAGAGACCTCAACATGGACCGTGCGATTTGTAAACCGTTTGCAAATTAATCATCATACTTTAGGTGTATCAGTCCATGCAAGTCAGCTAGCCCAATTCAGGTGATCTGAACTAATTTGGCTCTATCAGCTGAATTTTTCTAACCACTGCTGATGAGCTCGATCCCAAACGAGTGAAATGGCCGTCTGGTGTTCAAATCACTCTGATCTGATCTGGCTGGCTAAATCTTCATATTAGCCTGACTGTTTCCCAACTACTCAAGTTGTTGAGTAGTAGATTACCTCCGAGTTGATTCTTCTGTACACTTTAGACAAACCACAGTATCACTGGATTCACCGTCGAATGGTTTACTGAAATAGCTTTAGTTTGATGTACTGGTCTTTATTCAGTTGGGACAATTACGGACACTGAAACAAAAACCTGACTACTGGTTCAAATCCTGCGGGAACCCTGTTTTGTTTGAACTTCAGTCATTCTTGTCGTTGTTTAGGATTTTTTTCCTTCAGATGGATCATTTCATTCATTGACTTTTTGTATACACTATATCCTTATCAACATGAAACAGTTGATTGTAAATAATCGTTTTACTCATTTTTTTTCGGGGGGAGGGTTGCTTTTCAGTGTTTTTCTTTCTCATGTTTGATAAGTTTTTAATTGGTTCATTAGTTTCAGGATGTATTGGATTTGTAATATTTGGATCAGCAGCCTTAGTATTTTGGTATGGTGTCAAATTGATCCAAGATGAAAATACTGATCCTGGTGCTGTGATTGCAGTAAGTGATTCTGAAGATAAACTTAAAAATAAAGAGAACAGTAACATTATATCACAGAGTAACACTAGCTAGAGAACTATCAGAAGCCATAGAAGGCTAAATAGTTGTTTCGTTTTGGTTAAGGGCTCTTGAATGACAGTTCTATTCACGTTCTACAGCGAGCAGTTCACCACTCAGTAAGTATAACTGAAGGATATCCTTTTGAATAAATTCTCTTCAGGTTCTCCATTTAACAAATCAGATTTTTTATCATGATAATAGCCAGGTATACAATCGGATACACTTTATTTAACAAAGCAAAAACGAAAAAATCTTTTGGATAAAATGAAGTCCTCTTATTTCGCTTGAGTCGCTAACCCACTAAGAAAACTCATACCCCCACGACTAATTAAAATAAATGTGACCAACCCTTATTAGATAGTAAAGAAGACATGATGTAACCCAAAATAACAGCATTGAATTACCAGGATAAGGAAAGACTGACCGCAGTCTCTTTTTCTGCATGTAAACATCAGCTTTAACATATCTGATTGTATAGGTTTCAATAAATCGTAGTTAACTTCCCGACTTTTGTTTGTCGACTATCCTGAAGGCTTCGAAGATGTGTATTTGGTGTCGAGTTCCCGCCAAGTGTCTGATCATTGCACCTATAAAATCTTTTCTACCTTTCAAACACAAATTTCTTGAAATATATTGATAGAACAAAGTAGATAATCTTCTCTCAGCCCTTGCTTCCCCAAGCACATGTGAATTAGTAAATACAGTCGGAGGTGACAACACAAGAAGGGTGGTATCTTTCCACAAATATCCATGAGATGAAATGACATCACTTCATTCTACAAATCTATTCTTTCTTGCATTGTTCAGTTATCAAGTGAATGAAATGTATGAGATACATTGCTAATGACTTTAAGTTGATATTCATCATGGACTGACAAGTTACAAAACCACTGAAAACTTTGGACTCATTAACAGTGTCCACCCATGACCCTACCAGGGATCGAACCCACTTTAACGATATGAACAAATACTGCTAGAAGTGATTCTGTATGCATATCAAATGAGGGAATAAGTTTAGTGCAATAGTAAGTAATAATAATAATAAATTAAAAACAATTTAGGGTCAGGGAAAATTACAACACAGATCAAGGTTACTGTTTATCTTAGGTAAGAAGTGGCTAATATAGAAAATGATACAAGTTAAGCAAAATGTAGTAGGAATGGGATGATCATTTCATCACGAAATGGTTGGTGTATAAAGTGTCTGTGAAGATAAACTGATGTATTGATGGTAACAAGGAGGTTGTTTGTGCTACTTTAATTATGTAGGGCTTTGACAAAAGCACCAAAATTTTGTGGTTTGTTACATTAAGGATGAAAATAGAAAACGTTAAATGGGAGAAAGAAAAAGAGAAATTTGCAGTTAAGAAGGTCGTAATTAGTCTACTGAAAGCATGATTACGGTTTTTTCGATGTTATGCTGCTCTGCCTCAGCTATCTAAAAAAAAGGCTAATATGGATTCCAAATGATAATCTCTTTGAAAGTGTATGGTTACAGTGGCCATAGTAGCATCTAGGTGATGTCCTCTGCCCGCTAAATGTACTAGTGTGGAACTTCTGATGAACTGGACTTCACTCTTCCCGACCTGGACTGGCAAGTGTTTTCGTATCCAGAACTAGAAATTTCTAATCCTGCATATCATGAAACTTGTTCAAGAAGAACAGCTGAATTGATATACGTGTATCGATGAACTGATTTTAAGCAAAGGAGCCTTGATTTACAACATCTAGTCTTCTGCATAGATTATTGCACCCGATGAAATGTATTTCTATAATGAAAGATTATATGATTGTTTCCTTTGATTGCTGTAATGAAATTTCAAAAGCCTATGGGAGTAAAACAATATTTCATTCACTGTTCTCTTGAACAGTCCATTCGTCATGATGTATTGCATAACATATTCGTGATTGAGAATCACCACAACCTAATTTTCGGTTAACATTATATACTTCTCGAGGGAATTAAACATACGTTTCACATTCCATTCACCTACGTATTTCTTGTTGTTTTTTCCAGGTGTTTATAAACATTTTACTGGGAAGTATATTTCTAGGAAATGCATTACCAAATGTACCATATATTCTGGGTGCTGTCACAGCATCTAAAGACATATTTACTACAATAAATCATGTAAGTTTTTTAACATCTTTTTTGTTTGTATGCTGTTTATCATTTGATTCATTACTATTGCTATCAGGATCCACTCTGAAACACTGTAAAATTGATATAATTAACTTGATACAACAAATTGCTTGATGTATCCATTCCCCCCCCCCCCCAAAAAAAAATTTAGCATTCTGAAGCGTCTACAACTACAACTCAGTTTTATTGATCTTGGCGACCAGCAGAGGCATCCAGGATGCACGTTTCGTCCTGTTTGGAATTCATCGGCTAGATGTACCACCACCTCAATGAGTGATGCCTTTCCAGCTGAGACTCGGACCCAGTGCCCGTCTTTTGAAACGTCGAGGTGGTATCCAATAGGCTACTGGGACACAATAGTCACCTCTAACGCAACAGGTATCATTAGCTATTATCATTTTTGTAATTTCCCGTTACTGTACAGGGCCGAATTGCTCGACCTCTGTTGGCAGATTGGCTCGTATGCGGATGCCTCTATACTGTCGGTTGCTCATAATGTTATATTGATCTTGGTGACTAGCAGAGGAATCCAGGACGCGCGTTTCGTTCTATTTGCGGCTCATTTGTCAACAGAGATCGAGCAGTTCGGCCCTGTATAACAACGGGATATTACAAATATCATTACAACTTAGTTTCAGTTTAACTTTCTCAAAAGTATTACTGATATTTTCAAACTTCAAAAGGACTGAATAAATAACATCGAAGACAACAGTTGCAACTGTCTTGCTGTAGCAATTCACAATGTATGTATGTTGTGACCGAGTGGTGGGGTTGCGCGCGTGGGTATAATGAATACTGAGACTCAATAGACACTTCAACCGAATACCTTTACGACTGACATCCCTCAGTACCTTCTGCGTCACTTAGCCGCGGTAAAATCAGAAGACAAAGATGGCCTGTGACTGTGAGAACAGGGACAACAAACTTTTATTAGGCAAATACATGACATATATGTACTTACAAAACTCTCAGAAAGTGCAGCCACAAATGGACCAATCAGATTTCTTCTATGAGGTCGAATTCCTCCAATCAGGTCCTCATGTCAGCGCCTGCATAAATCATGGCCTGGACATGATCTGATCACGACTTAAAAACTCCCCTACTGGCTGCCTTCTTGTCGCTACGTAAAGCCTCCCCCCGTAAAGAGTGTACGACTTCTTTTTATGGTCCACTCGGAAGGGCTTTGGCCTTCTGCAGGCGACAACTGACTCCGGGCTGAAGATTTTCTACCGTAGGGTGAGACAGCAAAACATACAAACAATTTCTTCGTCCTGTCTTCCCCCTTTACTTCTAACACATCCTCTCCGACAAAGAATGATGCACGCTTCTGGAGCGAGTATTCTGAACATCACTCATCCGGCTTATAAAATGAAAACCCATTCTCACAGGCTGACGTTGTACCAGAGCATACTGAACATACACAGGTTTCTGCTGAAGTCTTTCAGAAGACGCTTCATTTTGTTAACGTCTTCACCTAGCAGGACAGTATCGTCTGCATATTCCAAGTCAACTAGATGACCTTCATGGAGTAGGTCAGTCCCTATGAAGTCAGACGTACAGGGATTATTTCCATCAGTACGTCTATGACGAAGTTTAAACAGGAATGGTGATAGTGGACATCCCTACCGGACACCACTAGTTGTTGTCAACGCACTTGACAACTCTCCATAAGCCCTTTCACGGCTGCGTAAGCTCGAGTAGAGAGATTTGATAAGCGTTACTTACTTGTTCGGTACTCCCTTCACAGTTAGACACTGCCACAACACCTCACGGTCGATAGAGTCTAATGCCGCCTTCAGATGAAGAAATATGGCAAGTGTCGGTCACTGGTCGGTAGGTATGCCTGTGTTCCAGAACCTGTCGGAGGGTGGAAACCTGATTGATATACCCTCGTCTGAAACCTGTCTGGTTTTTTCGAGTTTACTGTTCTCTAGCTACAGTTAGGCGTCGGATAACTATGGACCCTAGGATCTTGGACAAAATATTAGTTAAACTGATTCGCCTATGGTTGTCACAAGATTTCTCCCCCTTCTTATAGACTGGGATGATCAGTGAAGTACATCAGTCTAACGAGACTACCTCTGGTTCCCATACCCCGCCTAGTAACTCCGTCACTCCTCACCAATTTCCTACCTCCATCCTTGAGAACTCCAGGTGTTAAACTGTCAGGTCCTGCTGCTTTGCATCTTTTCAGGTTCTATACAGCTTTCTCAGCTTTAAAGAGAGTTGGATGACAGACATCTGCGTCCCATTCAGGTTCAGGCTGATTGTTTGGCAACTGAAGCATTGCTGAGGACCATTTAAGCGTTGCTTCAAAGTGTTTTGCCTAACGTTCTATCCTTCTGTCCCGGGAGGTTGTCGGCGTTCCATCCTTTTCGGTGATGGTTCCACTTACCATCGTATTTTTCCTGCCGGTATTGTTGATAAGCCTAAATAGTTGCCGAGTTTTATGCAACACTGATACCTTCTCAACCTCTCGGTTTCGCCACATCAGAGGAAATATGGAGTATCCCTAATAGTTACAACATCAGAATATTCTTCAAGGTGGCAAACACCACACTCACACCTGCGCAAATTAAAAGACCCGATCCCCCATTTGCAACAACAGAAACTCGTTTATAAGGTAAACTGTAGTGAATGCGATGCCACATATAATGGAGAGACATCACACCAAGTACTAACACGTCTAACAGAACACAGTCGAATTTGCAAGCAGAAACCAAAAATTTCCTATAATTTGGAAAATTTTGAAAAAACCTCGGTCATCCTAGTTCATGCCTTCATAAAACATTAGTTGAAAAGGCGAGTCTTACAGAAGAGTTTCATTTCTCACAAAGAGTAGGCCATTGCAGAAGCTTTTCATATCTGCGCGTACCTTTCTGCGGTCAACAGAAAAGATGGGTTAGACATCCCACATATATGGCAAACATTAATGACTAGCAGAGACAGTTCCAAATAATATATGAAAAGAAGATAGAACACAACTTCATTTCACACTATTTTGCATGATTTATTCCAAATTTATTCATCTCTGAATAAGTTTCTAGCGTTGTTTCGCTTAATCGTGTTAATCACTTCAAGAAAATATTGGTTTTATTTTAACAACTTATCTAATCCTAGTACATAATACTTTACTGACTTGCTATTTTCATCAATTTTACGCTACTTTCTGAGTTGCATGCATTCTATAAACCAATCTATATATCCATTTTGTTATCATTCATACTTCAACTGCTACCATAAATATAAATACTTTTATCGCTATCTTTATTATCATTGTTATTATTATTAGTCAGTATTCATTGTTTGATAACGTTATTAAAAGATGAAGATTATCTGAAAAATGTGTAATGTATTTGCACCAATACACTTGGGACAATCTTATCACACATTTACTTAACAAGTCAATTTATATATATGAGAATGAAAGGTCAGATGTAATGAATACGAAAAGGTTGTGTGACACTAGTCTTGGTATTATAATCAGATAAGGATTACAAAGGTAAATTAATGAAGATGAAACAACAAATTGTTTTGTACACAAATTGGGGATTTAAATTCACGAATGGCTAACGCTTTGGCCACTTTCAGTATGCGCACATGACTCTTCCTATATAATATATTGAATACTGTTCTCGTTCTAACTTTATGATTCATTTCGATGATATGTTTTGCTATGGATGAAGATGGATATCTGTCACCTACATTTATCAAAGTTTGTGTGATAAACTGTTTTTCAGGCCATTTAGATAAATTAAATTTTGAGGGGTTGTGGAGATTTGGAATTATTTCAAGTTGTTATTCATCGTAGACTGACATCAGTTGGAGGAACAAAGGAAACCTGGGAGCACTGGACAGCTGTTTCGTCCCACTAGTATGGGACTCCTCAGCAGTGCGCACCCACGACCCCACCAGCAGGGATCGAACCCGCGACCTTCAGGTTCCGCGACCAGCGCGTTACCATTGAGCCACTGGGTCAGAATCCAATGCTCCATATTTCCAACTTCTGTTAGCTCACTGCTGAGGAGTCCCATACTAGGACGAAACAGCTGTCCAGTGCTCCTAGGTTTCCTTTGTTCCTCCAACTGATGTCAGTCTTCGATGAATAACAACTTGAAATAATTCCAAATCTCCACAACCCCTCAAAATTTAATTAAACTAGTGCTCGTTGGTGACTAGCTTCGAGAAGTATTCCCAAAGTTCCAATGACAAGTCGTGACCGGTGGAGTCAAAGCCTGATGGCCGTGAGGACAAATACTCAACAATGACATTGGGTGGCGGTCTGCGCTATATCCTGAGCTAACAGAAGTTGGAAATATGGAGCACTGGATTCTGACCCAGTGGCTCAATGGTAACGCGCTGGTCGCGGAACCTGAAGGTCGCGGGTTCGATCCCTGCTGGTGGGGTCGTGGGTGCGCACTGCTGAGGAGTCCCATACTAGGACGAAACAGCTGTCCAGTGCTCCCAGGTTTCCTTTGTTCCTCCAACTGATGTCAGTCTTCGATGAATAGCAACATTTAGATAAATGTTCACTGACTTTAGTCTGGATAGCACGATTACTCCTTCCTATGTATGTGTGCCCCCACATAGATGTAAATTGATAAACACAGTAAGATGTGACATACTCCTTTATGCGAGGTTGAGGTTTGTGATGAAGCAGGTGTTTTGTTGTCGCAACAATGATAAACTATGCTGTATAGTATGTTTTACTGATAACAGATTTTCATCTCTGTTTCAATATCATACTACTCGTTTCTTCTCTGTATGATACTTTAAGAAATATATCCTTCCTCGGGCACCCAGAAAATTATCGGCTAACGAGTAAACTGTTTTCTACAACAGTTCAGAAACTGTAATGGATATCAGTTTTCCACAAGTGTGTCTGTCAGAAATTTGCTCTGATCGCCCATTGTATCATATGTATAAACAATTAAAGTAGGGTGAATTAAGATAAAAATAAACTAATACAAGTTTTGGATATTATATAGGGATAATAAGGAAAAATAACGCATTTTCACACCACCTTGGCATTAAAATGAGATTATCAAGGTAGGTTCAAGGGAAGGACAAATTGTTTTTGAACCCATAAAAACGGATTGAACTTTAGTACTGCTAAGGCTTTAATGAACCTAGGTATACGGTCTTGATGGCTCCTATACAATGGTCTAAAGGCTGTTTTGGGGTCAATCCTGTGACCTGTTTCTATGATGTGTTTACCCATCGAGAATGACATCTGTCTGGCCCCTGTATTTATCGGATTATTTGAATGTAATTGTTTCTCTAACCATTTAAGGATATGCTCGATCACTATCGACTCCATAGTTTGACTACTCCCAATGTAACGGCAACACTCATGAAAAACGCATATCCTCTAAAGTTCATCAATCGTCATAAAAACGTGTCAATGGTGCGAAGTAATCAGCATTCTGAAGGACGTTTACATCACGCTACCGTATAAGGGGGAATCAAACAGCATAATCTTAAGATAAAGGCCTAATTCAGTTATTAGAAAGACATGTTATGCGGCCAAGTTCAATACTATCAAGTAAACGAAACCTATGCTTCAAAATAAACCTCATCACTACATAGATGATTACGTCGAATCCGGCTATGTATTCCAATTTATGTGTGCGTGCGGTGACACATGCCTTGGGAGCATATCCTTAAATGGCTAGAAAAACCTCCATCTTCTTATTACGTTACATTTCGCTGAAAAACAACGATTCAATTAGGTTGACACGGTCTTACAAAAGAGTAAGCCCTCCTCCCCAGTTGTCTTTACAACCTTCAAAGCACTTCATATTTTGGTGAAGTTTGTTTTCTTATCTTCACTTATTATCCAGTTGATTGATTGTTACAAACACTTAAAATTTACCTTATTTTCTGTCTAGTTTTGCATTATTTTTCTGAATATTTATATTTACTCAGGTTTCTGCAATTGATAAAGCAAAAAGTGGCAAAATTGTTCCAAATTTCAATGGGAACGTTTCCTTTCATCATGTCAATTTCACGTATCCCACACGTCCAGATACGACTGTAAGTTAATTAAAATAAGTGAAACAATAAAATATGTAAAACGTTCATTAAACATTGAAACAAAACAGAAGTATTGAGAATTATCTCAGAGTCTTGGTTGTATTGTGTTCTCTGAGCTGGATTGTTTAGTCATGGAGCTTTCATCGTCTTCTGGACGACATCATCAGCAATAACTTCACTATGAAGTGAGCTGTCAGTATTTGTCCGTGAGTGATTTAGTATCTTGCCCTGACGAACTGGATGGTGTTTTACCAAGATCGAAACGTTGAGGAATAATATAAAATATTTGTTTATTTTGTGATTTGGCCCAATATACTTCGCCGGGATAACACAAGTAAAATACACACCTTACACGATGATTGTGAAAGGTTGACTATTTAGGAACAGTAGTTATCGGAGTTATGCTACTTTACCATCAGTCTTGTCCACTATGCATATTCGTCTGATTTTCAGAGACAAGTAATGAATCAAGTCCATCTTGCTGTTCATCGGTGCCCAACCCCAAAAGTGTACATACTGTCCGTTCCATGTTGGCGTGCTATGATTTAATCTTCGAAGAGTCACCTAGTCTTCTTTATAGTAAATCAAGGAAACAAAACTCATAGTCTACCTTAGAATCCATCGTAAATCTGGCTGACTGGTGGAAGCGTTTACAGTTATCAGTTATGAGCATTTGATCACTTTTTTATCATAAATGATAAATAAATCATCTATGTATGCCTTACATAAATTATAATATTGGATCAACAACTGTAGCACAGTGTCCTCCAAGTTTGTCATGAAACGGTCTGCCTGTAGAGAACTGAGAAGTGACCCCATTACTAATCCGTCTTTTTGTCAATAAAACTCATTGGTAAATCGGAACAGAATATTGAAAGTACAATGCAGAAGTATTCCATCTATGTAATCTTTCGAAATAACAGTGCTGAAATAGTTGGCTTCGATGGAATAGTATTACACGGAAATCTTTTCTGTAGGCAAGATTTTATACCTCATTCGCTGTTCATTTGACGCCTTGACTGAGCATCTTGTCCCTGGAAATTGTTAACTGGAATGATAAGACATTGGATCAAGACTGAATTGTTCTGTTTACTTTTGTTAAAAGGAGTCAGTTGTGTTCCTGTTTCCTCAACCTACACTTGTATATCTTCATCATATCTTAAAAGCGGTATCATGGACTGGATCATAGGACCCATACAAAACCTTATACATTGAACATAACATTTGAGTTATACGTTCACTAGAGCTCTAGTGGTCCTTCAAAACAAAATGCGACTTGGGATGCTGTGCTAGCGATTTCTTAATAATTTGCTGAAGTTTTCGAATTATGGCTTACAATTATTTCCATATATCTATACTTCAAAATATTTATTACAAACAATTTACTTGATCCTTTGGTGGTTTAAACACTCGTAATCCATTTAGACAAATACATTTAGTAAAACTACAACTGTAGGTCGAAATGTTGGAATTATTTTTTCAATCCATTTCTGCTCTACATATTAGTGTAACATGTGACAACTTGAACTAATGTACCTTCGTGACAGTTCCCACTTTGACTTTTTTATCCGTTTAAATTCTTTGTAAAACCGACCTATCTTCACCACTTTCTATTGACTCTCTCAGGGATGCAAGAGAATTAAGCAGCACGAGTCACTTTTCTCGAAAATCAAATGACTGATACTCCATTAGTGCGCAAACTAAGGTTACACTTTTGGCAGCTGAATTTCACTTATAGCTCAGCGAAGCGTTTACACTTTCGATAGAAATTCATCTTTTCCGTTAATGATATCGGTAACTATGTCTTCTGTGACCAGTACGTTTAGCAAACCTAAATATCAGCCTAAATATTCCTAATGCTGATGCTCTTTTACTTATTTTGCCTATGTTAGTTACCGTCAGCGCTCACTACAAAGACGTTCCTAACCATTGAAAGAACCACCTAAGATAAGTCTTTGCCCAGTGAGCACTCTAAAAGACAATGTGTAAACCTAAAACCATTTATCTGCAACTCGTTGTTTTCAACACTTCCTACTGTAGATTGGATGCCATATGCAGGATATAAAATTCTGAAAATGGACATTGAAAACATGTAGACATTTAGTTCTTTCCTTCTTATATCTGGCTATTTGACCACGGCATAAGCACCTAGGAAATGGATTTTATCCATTTAGTGCCTATATGGTTTTCAGACCTTCGTTACAAGAAAATCTAATCGTAACACTTTTTAGGAGATTCAGATTCCAAGGGAAGGTGATGAATTGTTGTGAAAACACACTAACACTGATTTCAATTCATTCTGAAGGTTTGTGAGGATTTAAATATTGATTTCAAGTTGGTATTCATCCCGGACTGACGTCAACCAAAAAACCGTCGATAAACTAGGAGTATTGGACATCTGTTTCATACATCACCTTGCCCCTCCAGGGGTCGTACCCAGGACCTCCTGGTCTTATGGTGAGCACGTTTCCATTGAGCTACTCGATCGGAATCCAATGGTCTACATTTTCCTACTTTTGTCAGTTCCTAATAGAGCTTGACCGTTATTTAGTGCCGTCGTTGAGGAACTCTCCTCACCTCCGAATTAGTTTGCCCGAACGGTCTGGACAACTTCCATCTTAAAGCGTATCACTAGTCTAGTCTGTTTTCGACTATCAGCTGTTTAAGTATAAGTTCAGAAAAAAATCCACGTCGACTCTATCATACTTACCAACTGCATAGTAAGCCACCACGGATGCGAGGTAGTTCATAACTAAATGCTATATCAAGTTTCTGAGTTGGATTTGTTATTGTTCATGCGTTTATTTCCAACTGAATGCCTGTTATTTAGATACAAAATGAAATGAAGCTAATGATTTCTTTCACTGTATGCGTTTTGTAATGTGTCTGTTGATCCTGCCAAAGTATTTACTCTACCATGCTGTTTTTTCATTATAAACTTGGAGTCATATGACTTACAATGCAAGACGTCATAAGACTTTTTCTTAAGGAATGAATGAACGCTTATTTTTTACGATACATATAAATATTATACTGGTCGTTCGGAAAGAAAACATAGTACTACATTTTATTATTATTATGACGACTATTATTATCATTATTATTTATCCCTTGGGTTCCCAGTGGAATATAGGATTTCAGTAGCACGTCACCATTCGAATCTCTTCTCTGCAGTCTTTTCAACCTGGATCCACAACTCCCCATAACCCTTCATTTCTTCCTCAAACGATCACCTCCATGACACCCTCGCCTCAGACACCCAACTGGTCTTTTCCCATTTGGGTTCCACTGGACAGCGTGGTGTGGTGTGGCCTGGCGTGACTCGTGATGTCCTCGAATGGTCTTCCCAATATATGTCCAATCCAATCCAATCTAATCCAATGGAATCCATCTCAACTTTCTTCTTCTACATATTTGTTGGGCGATAGGTTGTTGGTTGGTTCTTTACCAGTCAGCCAGCCAACCAGCCAGCCAGCCAGAGTTCCTTGTTGTTTATTCTTATTATCCTGGCCTTCTGATCTTCATTATCGGGTGAGCGTAGGTGGCATGTGTTGATGTATGATGTGTGTAGTTTGTTGAAAATGCTTTTCGTAACACACCAAGTCTCTCAACCATCACATCACCATCACTGAATTTACATGAGTATTAGTGTTGGAAATCTGGATCTTGTTCACGCTTTATGTTGAGTGGAGTGGAGTATAGTGGAGTAGATCTCCACACTGATTTCAGATTAATGAAGGAAGGCCTGTCATGGTTTTTTGATCCTGGTTTTGACCTGATCATCTGTGCCTGTGCCGTCTGTAGTTGGAACGATGGTGTCTTGCCTGTGTAGGTGAAAGAGACAACCTCCTTTCGATTTCTCCCATTGATGGTGACTGGTGCTTATTCTTGTTGTTGTTGTTGTTGTTGATGATGATGATGATGATGTTGACTGAGTATCTTCATCACCTGTATCTTCTCTACGTTCACCTGAAGGAAGTCGCATCTTCGCTGCCTCGTCTCGCCTCCTCTGCCAACTTGTTGGTTTTAGCCTATAGATCTTCGAGTTAGTGCGACATTGGACATCAGATATAGATCATCATCGTTGGCGAAATCGAAATCTTCTTCTAGGGTCTTTTTCATCGGTCAAACAGCGTGCGTATGCCCATCTTCTGGCTGCTTACCGTTTGTTGCATGATCCAGTTGAGTGGACCACAATCATGAATATCGTGGTTGGATAGTAGACGGCAGCCTTGTCTTACTCCTGTCTTCCCTTTGAAGGTGTCACTGAGCTTTCCATTGTGAATCACTTGTAATGTATCATCCTCATATGGCATATAGGTGGTGTATAGTGAGTTTTGTAAGTGTTTGTGGCAGTAAAAGCGTAGTGTGGAAGCAGCTGCCTGTCAAATTACTTCTCGTTTGAGTCTGTCGGAGGGATTTTTGCAGTCGATGAAGTTGAGGTAAAGATGTATTTGGCTGGCATTCTATGCTGTTTTTTATGATGATGCGTAGGGTAGCGTTGTAATTCGATCCACTTATAATTTGTTTGACTGTATTTATTGCTCAATCTTATTCTTTCTCTCTCGTTTTTAAATAAATTCAGGTTCTTTATAATTTTTGTCTTACTATTGAAAGTGGCCAGACAGTCGCATTGGTTGGCTCAAGTGGTTCTGGCAAAAGTACTATCATCCATATGCTTCAGCGTTTCTATGATCCAACTCAGGGTGAAGTAAGCAATTATACTGAATAGATTATTTTTTTGCTTGTTTGACAAAACTCTAGTAAGAATGACCAACTTGAACAACACAGAATCTGACATAATCGAACGAAACAGTTGTCCAACACTCGCTTTTGATACGCTTCGAGATGAGACTTCCTGCTCTTTTAATTAGAAGTAGTGGCCGCTGGGGCAAACCGAATCGGAAGTGTGGACAAATACTGAACGATGACATTGGATCAAGGTCATGATATATTACGAACTCCGATAACCGCTATATCTTCTTAAATACCGAAAAGCGGATGATATTCACTGAAATCTTTTTTAGCTTGTGTGTTTGTGTGTGTGGTGAAATCTAGGTATTTGAAGTGTTTTGAGCTTAACCGGAAATTCAGTCTTATCTAACAGATTACAGTCTTCACATACCAATGATTAATCCCGTTATCGCTTTTTTACTGACAGCATACAGTTAGCGCTGAATAGCAGATGATTATCTTTAAATCTCTAGTTGTTATTCATCGTAGACTGACATCAGCTGGGGGAACAAAGGAAACCTGGGAGCACTGAACAGCTGTTTCGTCCTAGTATGGGACTCCTCAGCAGTGCGCACCCACGACCTTCAGGTTCCGCTGCCAGCGCGTTGCTATTGAGCCACTGGGTCAGAATCCAATGGTCCATATTTCCAACTTCTGTTAGCTCACGATATAGCGCAGCCGCCACCCAATGTCATCGTTGAGTAACTGTCCTCACGACTATCAGGCTTGACTCTGTTTGATAATTATTTTCTTTTCAATACATAATCTGGTCCTATACTTCAACATTAACGTTTCTCACTATAGCACTAAACTAGTTGTCTTCCATGTTAAAATATGTTGTTTTCTCTTTCACTGAGTCAGATGAGCTTTGCTGGACAATGATGACAAAGGCGAGGCGAATGGGAGTATATACTTTCGCATAACTATAAACACCAAATATCAAGCTATTACCATTTCTGTTATTGAGTTTGAACTGTGCTACTTGAAGGACTGTACAAGTCCTGATCTGTCTGAAACCAGATGAGTCGTATCACACGGGTGTGTAAGTCGTTGGTGTTGGCACTGGGCTCGTAACCAACAGGTCACGAGTTTCAATTCTGGTTTACCTACAAAGTTATAAACAGGCAGATAGTCCCATTAGCTTATTACCTGATGCACGAACGTGCATATGGTTTCCAAGTTGCATTTCAATTTTAATCTCTGTTCAAATCTCATCATATAGCCTCTACAGAAGTTACTACCAGTACATGTATACTAACTTGATGTTGTTCATTAGTCGAAAGATGATAATTTTCCAGGACTTCACGCCAACTAAATACATTATCAGCATTCAACTGTAAAGTAATAACAGTTCATTGCATCAAAACATGCAATTTCTAAAGATGATTTCCAGTAACCTTCTTACAAAAATCTCATGATCGTTGACACCTATTTATAAAACTTGTTTCCGAGTCATAGAAGATCTGTATAAAGTATATGACTGAAGTACCCATCATTCAAATTTGTAAGATGGAGCTGATTAAAACAAGTTTAAACTTCTATGCAAGAGTAAATCCACTGTAAATTATTATCACACCTTAATAAAGCTAATAATGAAGTCCTCTGTAATTCGCCTATCTTTTTGTTTACGATCTGCAAATATATAACAGTGCAGTTTTAGTATTATGGCTTGTGAGTCCCCGTGGTTGCTTGAGCTGATTCAATCGGCCACGACTGGTGAATGGGCTCCTGTGCAGATGCCTCAAGATTGCTAGAATTTTCAAATTTTATAGTGATTCATAGTGGTTAGCAGTGGAATCCAAAATGCATGTTTCGTCCTATTTGTTGCTCGTTAGCCGGATGTACCTGCTTCCCACTGAGTAATGTTGACCCCACCAAAATTCGAACTTGAAACTACCGAAAATATTGATGCATCTGCACAGGGACACATATGCTAATAGTGGCCGATTAATTCGGTCCAATCATCGAAGAAGATTGACAATATATAACATCAAAGTTATACTATACCCGTCTCATAAGAAGTAGCTCTTGTGACTCGGTGACCTAGTGGATAACTCTCTGAAGTTTAAAGCAATCGGTTCCGGCTTCGAGTCTTAGTGGGGACAACACCACCCACTGTGAGTCACGTGCACCCAGTTGATGAGTCACAAATAGTATGAAACACGCGTCCTGGATTCCACTGCTAGTCAGTCTCCACCATTAATATATTGTGTCTTCATTTCTTACTCTGATTACCTCTTCAGCTATTTTGTTTTTGTATTAACCTTTTTTCTATTTCAACTTATTTTGTTATAGATTTTAATACAAGGTGTAAATTTACGTGAACTCGATATTACAACTTATAGAAATCAAATAGGATGTGTACAACAAGAGCCAATATTATTTGATGGTACAATACGTGAAAATATTAGACTGGGAAAAATTAATGCAACTGATAAAGAAATTGAAGCTGCTGCTATTAAGGCTAATGCACATCAATTTATCATGAATCTTCCACAGGTAACTCACACTTTCTTTCTTTCTTTCTTTTTTATGAATATTGTTAATTAACTAATCATATTCCCAATTTGTAAATACTTTTTATTTTGCTATTTACATTCTTTAAGTCATTTATAATACTACGTGGTAACTGAACGTATGACATGGAGATTTGAACCACAGTGGGATTCGAACCAGCGACTACTGGGTTTCCGGCGCGATGTTCTAACAACTGAGTTACAAGACTCCACTTCTGACCAGATTTTTCTATTCCTTAAATCATCAAGAAATTTACCCGACAGCTATGTGAATTCACAATACGTTACCATCACTTCATGGTACTCATACTGGTTGCCCAGTCAGCGATTCTCATCCCAATACAAATCTACTTGTATGAGAGATAAAGAGCAACATACTGATTATCACTTTAACTATCTAAGATGGACGTGGTGTAGCAAACATGTACTGATACTGCGGAAGTAAAACTTTTCGCCGTAGCAGAGTTCGAACTACCGACCATTAAGTTTCCTCCCCATGAAATACAAATCTGGTCAGCAGCAGGGTCTCGTAGTTTAACTAGTAAAGCATCTCACACAACAACTCGGTGGTCCCTCGTCAAAATCCCCCAGTCGCCCGAATTTTCCTCTCACCATCAGTCATCACCCAGTATCAGTACATTTGTCAAACACGACAAACTCGGATCGTAAACCTCATTATTCACTTCGTTAACAAAAGGAAACAACGATATTTAAACACGATTTATTGAATTCATAAATCTCAGTAGAATACCTCAGCTTTTTACACCATATACATAATTGCATATACTATTGTGCAGTCCAGGAATACATATACCCATAATGCGAACTAATGCCTTGAATGAGACATACCAACACAAAGTGAATAACTAACTGAGCTCAAATAGAACTAAGATTAGGTTTGAGCGGTCAACACGTTGATATTAAAAGACAAAAAGACCAGGAATGAATTTCATCATTTTGAACGTTTCGAACAATTAGTAGTCAACTAAGTAGCCTGATTAAAGTGCACGCTAAGGAACCATTGGTGTTGAGCAAATAAAAATATTAACTATAGTAATGATAATACAAGTGAGTGGTAATAATAACAAGAAGAACAATAAAAAGATCTAAAATTACGTCATTTTGGAAAGGATAAATTAAATTGAGAAGCTTGGTAACTAAAATTAAAGAAGGCTAGAGCATTACTGGGTCCACAGCAATAATAATAATAACAGTGATAGTGGAAGTGGAGATAAGTCATCTGACTCCTAGGCGTAAAAGTAAAAAAGGAAAAATGGCAGTGTAACATAATAAAGATAATTCAGAGACAAACATGCTCAGGAAAGGAAGAAATGAAATGGAAATACACAAAACAAAAAATTAATAAAAACAAATTTCAAAATACTTCGATACCTCTAAAATAGTACACTCAGGCTAACTACCATCTCTCTCTGTACACATAGGCTTGGCTTACGAATTCTAGTACTACATGCCTCCGCGGTTACAATCAATTTCCTATTCCGCTGTATCCTGACAACCGCGAAGGCCTTACTAGCGTCAAAAGCACGACGGTAGTCAATTGTTATTCTCCATTATTCCTCCCAGGGGTTCCCAGTGGAATATAGGATTTCAGTAGCACGTCACCATTCGAATCTCTTCTCTGCAGTCTTTTCAACCTGGATCCACAACTCCCCATAACCTTTCGTTTCTTCCTCAAACGATCACCTCCATGACACCCTCGCCTCAGACACCCAACTGGTCGTTTTCCATTTGGGTTCCACTCGACGGCGTGGTGTGGTGTGGTGTGGCCTGGCGTGACTCGTGATGTCCTCGAATGGTCTTCCCAATATATGTCCAATCCAATCCAATCTAATCCAATGGAATCCATCTCAACTTTCTTCTTCTACATATTTGTTGGGCGATAGGTTGTTGGTTGGTTCGTTGCCAGCCAGCCCGCTTGCCAGCCAGACAGCCAGAGTTCCTTGTTGTTTAATCTTGTTGTCCTGGCCTTCTGATCTTCATTATCGGGTGAGCGTAGGTGGCATGTGTTGATGTATGATGTGTGTAGTTTGTTGAAAATGCTTTTCGTAACACGCCAAGTCTCTCAACCATCACATCACCATCACTGAATTTACATGAGTATTAGTGTTGGAAATCTGGATCTTGTTCACGCTTTATGTTGAGTGGAGTGGAGTGTAGTGGAGTAGATCTCCACACTGATTTCAGATTAATGAAGGAAGGCCTGTCATGGTTTTTTGATCCTGGTTTTGACCTGATCATCTGTGCCTGTGCCGTCTGTAGTTGGAACGATGGTGTCTTGCCTGTGTAGGTGAAAGAGACAACCTCCTTTCGATTTCTCCCATTGATGGTGACTGGTGCTTATTCTTGTTGTTGTTGTTGTTGATGATGATGATGATGATGATGTTGACTGAGTATCTTCATCACCTGTATCTTCTCTATGCTCACCTGAAGGAAGTCGCATCTTCGCTGCCTCGTCTCGCCTCCTCTGCCAACTTGTTGGTTTTAGCCTATAGATCTTCGAGTTAGTGCGACATTGGACATTAGATATAGATCATCATCGTTGGCGAAATCGAAATCTTCTTCTAGGGTCTTTTTCATCGGTCAAACAGCGTGCGTATGCCCATCTTCTGGCTGCTTACCGTTTGTTGCATGATCCAGTTGAGTGAACCACAATCATGAATATCGTGGTTGGATAGTAGACGGCAGCCTTGTCTTACTCCTGTCTTCCCTTTGAAGGTGTCACTGAGCTTTCCATTGTGAATCACTTGTAATGTATCATCCTCATATGGCATATAGGTGGTGTATAGTGAGTTTTGTAAGTGTTTGTGGCAGTAAAAGCGTAGTGTGGAAGCAGCTGCCTGTCAAATTACTTCTCGTTTGAGTCTGTCGGAGGGATTTTTGCAGTCGATGAAGTTGAGGTAAAGATGTATTTGGCTGGCATTCTATGCTGTTTTTTATGATGATGCGTAGCGTAGTGTTGCAATTTGATCCGGACATGATTTGTTTTTTCTGAAGCCATCTAGCCTATTGCGGTCGTAATTTTGACTCCAGAGCACCTTTTAATATCTGTTTCCAGTATTATACGGCATAATATTTTGCTTGCGGTGGACAGTGGCATGATTCCTTGCCAGTTCTTGCGAAAACTTAGGTCTCCCTTCTTTGGAATTTTTACAGGGTAGACCTTCTTCCAATCTGCATGTACGTTTATTTCTTTCGAATCCTTCTGTAATTGTGATTTGGGTGTGTCACTTGTTGTGGTTGCATCTGTTTTCAAAGCTTCTGGAGGAATTCCATCTGGTCCTGCTACTTTCCCGGATTTTAGCAGCTTTATTGCCTTCAGGACTTTTGCTGTTGTCGGAGGTCTTGTGTTTACTGGTAGTTCTGCGGTTGTGAATAGCATTTTCGCACTAGTGGCAGCTGAAGATGCTAGTCGATTCAAGAGTCTTTTGAAGTGGTCAGCCCATCGTTACCTTTGCTTCGTCTCTTTGGTCACTAGGTTTCCTTCACTATCTTTCAATGATCGCATCTGCGTTGATCTCTTCCCAGATAGTAACCTGGTTATTTGATATAGTGTTGTCAGGTCTCTCCTACCTACAGCCTCTTCTGCTTCACTTGCCAATGTGTCTTAGAAGTGTCTTTTGTCTTTACGCGCAATTTTCTTCACTCCCCTATCCAGTGTAGTTTTTTATAGGTTGTACTCAGTTCTTCTTTTCGTTGTTTATCCTTGCACTGGTTCATCTTCTGCTTCACCATCCTCCTCTCCTCTGTTAGTTTCCATGTGTCCGTCGAGATCCATTCCTTGTCTTGTTTCCTCTTCCTTTCTAGTACGGTTATGCAGGTTTATTTCCACATAGCTTTCAAAGAGTTCCAGTGTTCTTCCACACAGGTTTCTTCAGGGATGTTGCTCGATATCTCCCATTTTGTCCTGATGCCTGACGTGAAGGTGTCCTTTGTAGTTTTGTCCTTCAGTTCAGTTTGTATTCTGGGTGTTGAACTTGAACTGTGGTCTATCACCAACTTCATTGAAGGCTTTTAACTTGATTTGGAAGGTGGGTTCCTTGTACTAGATAGTGGTGTGAGTGGTGTGAACCTACATCTGCTCCCCTTCTTGATCTGATCTTGTGTCCAGTAGGCTGCGTCTCCACTTTCTTGAGATTGAGATAAAATCGATCTGATTTTTAGTGTGTCCTGGTGTCTGGTGAAGTGAAATCCATGTCGCTTTGTGGATATCCTTGTGCTTGAACACAGTGCCTCACTGCAATCACGACATCGTTGAATACGCAGAAGTCTGCAAACAGTTCTCCATTCTCACTCATCATTTCGCCTAGTGCTTCTCGACCAATGATTGGTTCTCTTCCTGTGTTGTCCGCAACCAGTTTTGCGTTCATGTCGCCCATTAGAATTTCGATGTCGCCAACTGAGGTCTTGTCCAGTGTTGATTGCAGTTGTCTGTAGAATTCCTCCTTCTCTTGATCTGCATTATTTGTAGGTGCATGGTGTGGCATTGTATGATTGTGACCTTCCTTTTGAGTTGAATCTTGCTGTCATGATCCTGATCGTTGAGGAGACAGGTTCCCACTGCGTGAGAACCCTCGATGCTGTTGGAAGAGGAACTTCTTGATAGCCACTTCAAAACTCAGTGTGCTGGTGGTTGTCCTCTGAGTGAAAACATTGGAGTAGAATATTGACTCTCCAGTTAAGAGTTTGGAGAGTCCACTTCCGTTCCATCTGCTTTCGCAGATTCCAAGCACTTCCATGCCATTCCTCCTCATCTCTTTTGCAATCTGCGAGTAGAGTGACGCTTTTCCGTACTACTTATCTATTTGCTTCCACAAGTACATTCCAATTGACATATACAGTTTGATGTGTCGAGGATCGGAGTCGTATCTTTTCCTGATTATTAAATCACCCGCTTATTGATGCCCAGAAGTACTTCCTTAGCTGCGTATTAATTTCTTTTGATCATCTACTCTAGCCTCCGCT